CTCTGTTGTTATCTCGAATAAGTACTCCCCAGAACTCGGTGTTGACCTCGGTAATGATGAAACGATCTGTGGGGTGGCGGATGACTAAATCAAAAACTTCCTTTGTGTAGTTTTGGTATTCTCTGAACAATTGACAGATGTTCCTGATCTGTCTTCGTTCTCTTTCCCAATCTCTTCCTTCGAGGATCTCGTGTCCAATCTTAAATACTAGTCTGCGAAATTGCGATATGCAGGCTACTATCCTTCGTATTGCGTCGCAGCAGAAAGGGGTGACAACTAATACGTGGACTCCTGTCTTGAGATAGTCTCGTGGGTTGAAGGTGTTGTTCTGTTCGGGAGTGAGGGGGACATCGAAGAAGAATGGTATCTCTCGATAGAACTTGATGAGATCGGTTTCGTAAATTCCAATTCTCGTAAAAAGAAGTTCAAGAGGGGTAGGATTAAATGACGCTGTAACGTATACGTCAATTTTGGATGGTTCAAGATATGGCGTAAGGAATTCTAGGTAGGGTGCGGAGTAGGGTCGTCGGTGGATGATGATCCCACAGGGAAGCAGGTAATGGATCTCTCTCCCGTCCTGTTCTGGCGAGAACGCAAGTTGGGGAGTTTCAACGTAGTTCTGAAGGTGATAGATGCGTGGGGAGATTCCGTCGGATAGTATGAGAAGCGCTGTTTTATGTTCTGCCGCCCGTCGTCTGAGGGCTCGTCTTTCTTCACTGTCGTTCCGACGAGGGGGTTCTAGAATTCTCTGTTCGTAGACTTCAATCGGTAGGTGCTCTAGGTGTATCAAATTGAACCTGAACAATTCTCTGGACGCTTGATCGGATTCCCAAAAGCAGGTTTGAGCAGCTGCAGATGCGTATTCGAGTAAGCGCAACGTATTGGCGGAGTTGGGAGATTTTGAATGCTAAATCGTCGACGGCAAGAACTAGTCCTTCTAGTTCAGAGATGGGGGAAGAGGCGGCTGATGAGTCTTCGTAGTACTCAGTTTCTGTGTCACTGTGGGCAGGCTGGGGGTCCGTGGCAGCATTGACAGGTACTGCAACGTGGAGGTCTCGGTTGTTGAGGGCGCGGTGGAATTCCTCGAGTGAACGTTGTTCTTCGTCCGTTACTAGGCTCTCTCTGGTGTTCGACAGTTTGACGATTGTAGAAGTGATCAAAGATGACGGCTAGGGTGAGGACTTGAGCAAAAACAAGTAAGAGTATTACTTCGAGGTGGGTAGGAATGTTGGAGAGGGCAACTAGCTAGCTTAGCTAGAAGGCAAGTGGATTGGTTTAATGGGTAGGAGGACGGTGAATGACAACACGTCCGAGGGATGAAGGAAAAGGTAGGTTAGGGCTATAATGGGTTCAAGCGAGATGGTGCACTGTGAACGGATTGTAGAGTGAGTTTTCTATTTTGTGAGGCAACGATAAACTATAACAAAAACTAAACCTATCTCCTTCTGCACTTGCAGGGAGTAAGGGTTCAATGAGCTTGAGGTCGACAGACGCTAGCAAATATAGCGAGTAGAGGACTTTGAGAGGTAAGCTTCAAAGGTTCTTGTTGAGGAGTAAAGCGGGTAAATTCAGTAATAGAAAACTGAGGAGCCATACATGAATAGGTAAGGCTTTATATAGGGAACTGTCCGTTCCTCAGACCGAAAGGAGAATATACGAAAAGTGGTCTGAGGAATTAATCAACCAATAAGAAAAAGGGAGAGTAACTATTGTACGACTTCTGACTTGATTAATCAGCAGGTGAGAGACTTGTACTAATAATAGAGGATTGTCATGCGTGTTCAGGAACCGTATCCTCATGATGAGGTACGATCCTAAATAAGGTGTTATTAGTATTACCAGGCTTTACTAGGGCTTGGAGCTGGTTGGCGAGATGCCTACTACCAGTCCCTAGCCAGTGTGCTGGCTGGCTGGGGGCGATGCCCAGTCTCTGATCTGTGATATAAAGTGGTAGCGATGGTTAAGAAAGCCTGTGAGGGCTATGAGAAGTAAAATGGCAAAGGATACCTCTAGCCCTAGAGCCAGAGGTGTAACGGGAAAAGTGTTCGAGAACCAAGACATAGCAAAGATAGGGAAATAATGAAATGGTCCTTACAGTGGGAATGAAAGGAAAGTAAAAGGAAAAAGGAAATGAGTAAAGGATTCTGTCACTTCTAGTCCGATAGCTAAAAGGGTAACCAGAAAGGATTGAGAGAACCAAGACATAGCAGGAATTGCCTTGTTTTCATTATATTACTTCTCCTAGTACCTGGACACAGCTCACTCAATACATTTTTCAAGGCATGTTTTGGATCAAAAAGGCCAGATGGGTTTTCACACAAACATTGTTTTATTAACTAAACTCTTAGATCAAACACACAACCACTTGTCACTCATTCTAACACAGAACTTTGAAAGCACATAGATGTTCAAAACTTCACCTTACTAAAGTAAACACACCACATCTTCCAATTTTTATCTATATTTTTTCTACAGTATTATATTACAGTGTTCATGTTTTAGATTCATTTGATTTTGCAGTCTTTTTCTACTACTTTTCTTTTTGTTTGTATTCTTGTCCCTCCAAAGGAATTCACGAGATTCCCTGTGCTCAGGCAGGGGAATTGTCTTTGCTGGCTATATTCTCGTAAGACCGCGTTTCGGGCCTCGTGAGAACAATCAGTTGTGGCAACATATCGCAGACTCGGCGGAAACTAAACTTGAACCCATAAAGGTAAACTCTCCCACGGCATGCGTGTTTGGAAATCGGGTACATCGGCCCGTCTCGTCTCGATTATCTTCAAGGTTGTACTACTCCGCCTACAGATTGAACTCAGTAATCACGAATAACATGGTGCACAAGCTGATGCATTGACGAGTCCAATGCAGGATAAATTGGTAACAATTTTGTAGCATTGATTGACCGACCATCTCACCGCTGTATCGAAGAAACAACTGATATAACTGATATTCTTTCAGAGAAGTACCGTAAAATCTGCCGCAGTGCGCAAGGTAAGTAGCTTCAATTGTAGTGTCAATCAAAATCAAGGTCATGCCTTATTCCTTTTTGTGTGCAATGAATTGAAGGTGAGTGACTTGCCAATCTGCACAGACTGGCTAAACCCGACGTTGCGAAGCACGGGGAAAACCGCTGGATTTCTGGGGGTCCTAAGGTCTTCATTTAATTCCCTACCAAACTTTGTTTGCGTGTACATATCACAGCATTTTTACAGGCCCCATATTTCCAAATAGCTCACCATGATCTGATACTCCACACCCTCGAAGTTGCTGTAACAAATTCCTATACAGTCAACTTGAAGCTCTTCATCGAGACTCAATTAAATCAGTGATTATGGCATACAGGTGAGTAAACCGACTCTCATTTTACGGCTTCTGACGGAGAGGAAGGCCTCAAAGATAACACGAAGTTTATGCATGTACTATTACCGAACCCACTTGACGTCTTCACAGCTCCAATTTGATTTTTTGTGAGCTGTCCGTGTTATATTGCATTTCAACTAACCATTCATCCGCCCCACTAATTTGCGGTCAACAACCGCTCCTACAAATTCGCCTCATAATGGTGAGCTCGAGCTACACACTATTTACGTAGGTATTTATGGGAAGTGTTAACGCCTATGTTTACCTACCATTTCCCTCACCGCCATTATCATCATCAGACAACCTGACAGCCCCTTCTCGAGGTTGTCTTCAAGAATAACTCGAACGTGGATAGCACCCGGTAGCATCAGATGTTGAACGTTGAACAGTGATATCACAGATCCCCATAGTTCAGTGGCCACTCTCAGCTCTTCGCATTGTCTCTAGTTGGTGCGGCTATATCATGGAAATCATTTCCCTCTCAACAGCAATGAAAAGGCTGTTGCACATAAGTCTTAATGATTAATCCACTGAACAACGCACAAACAAAATTTGGGCCCGCATCAGGACTACAGCGCTAAGCAAGATACGGGGCATGGCGCGAACTTCCAGTAAAACCGATAAATTTCCCGCCGTTTGCAGGGCCGAGGAGGGGAAAAATCGATGTTCCCGCGGTGACGGCGAATGAATCAAACTATTAAGCTGGCATGAGATGAAAATAGATTGGTAACCTCGCAAATGGAAGGTTTGAGGCGCTACCGTGTTCATGGTGCCCACTTGCTGAATATGGAGGAACGGACAAAATTTTGCCACACATGGTTAGCTGTATGCCATGTGCTGTGGTGCTGGACGGTGAGACCTAATGGATGACTACGCATAGCCCATCTTCTCGATATACAGGACCACGAAAGAAATTAACAGGGACCCCTTCTATCTTGTCGCAAATTTGAGACAAGAAGCTACAGCTGGAGTGCACACCAAATCAAACATTGGGGATGGTAGTGCCCAACCCGTACAGTGCGGAGACTCATGAAGGCACGGTGCTGCTTGAATAGGTGGTGCACAGCACACAAACTTGAAGGATTGACGGAACAGTTAACACTCTAAATGGAAATTCGAGCCGGGATAACAGTATGCCGTGTGTGCCGTGAACCCCACATGCATCCGAGTACAGTGATTGCTGGAGACACTATTAGCAAAGACGCTCACCAAGCCTATCTCGGTCCCGACGGGGAAGCTCTGGGAGAGTAGTCTTAGTGCAGCACACTGAATTATTGTGGCCCTCATCATACGCATCAGTGGCAAGAGTCTATGCAGCTACTAGTACACGTAACACCAGGCTACAGTCAAGGGTATTACTAATAGCTATGAAGTACGAATATCACTAGCATACTCGTGTACCGCATACGTACAGGCAATGAGGCAATCCCAATAGCTTCGATGATAATATTTCTGAGACAACAATTGTAAGCTCCAAGACACAGATCTTAGACAATGGCTCTTTTACGGCCAAGACAACTCTCGTGGTACATGTATCGCACATTTAGCACACGTTTGAGTTATGCGGAGGGCCCTAAAACGTGGAATCTCACAAAATGTTAGCTACACAGAGAAATGTACGACATTCCCACAGCTGAAAGCTAGTAAATGTATTTGCACTCGAGTGGGTGCAACAAAGATGAAAGAGGGAAGTCTCCAAAGTCTGATTGTTTGAGCACTCCCATAGTGGTAGTGTACCTCGCACGATCAAACGACTGACTGAGCCCATCGAGAGATCGCACGTTTCCCAAAAGGATACCGTGGATACCGTGTAAATGGATATTTGAATATCGCCGACGACACGAAAAAAAAAGGAGGGCGCCAGCATTTACCCGCGGGCAGCCCCCGAGTACTCAGCTGCTCCACAGGCCATTGTGAATTTCCGCTGGTAGCGCCCACGAGCTGATGCGGCGGGCTCTCCATCAAAAAGATGACCTGACAATGGAAGGGTGAAAATTGAAAAGGACGTGGAACATGGTGGGTGGAGCGGGAGCTCTGTCAGGCAAGAGGCGGGATGTCTCAGGACCTTATTAAGAAGACGCTGCGGGGTAGAGGCACAGTACTAGTGGCTCTTACTCAGGGCGTCTGGGAGCGGGCTGTGCATTAGACATGCGCTGGTGACGTCAGGGCGTGCACCAGCTTATAACTCCCAGGGTTGCTCCTGTTGGTTCTGCTTGTTGTGCCGACTGCCTCCTGCCCTTCATTTCCCACGCCACCACACACTAGCTCCTCCAAGCCTGTTCTGCTCCAAAATTCCGTCCACTAAGCATGACCTCCAATTTACCTTTACCTTTACCATCATCACCGTCTGGTCATCGTCCATCCCCTTATCCTTTTCACAAGCGATCATTATCCTCCCCGTCCTCTTTTTTCTCCTTCTTCTTTCGCATTGACCATCAACAGCGTCCAGAGCACCCTCCGCAAATTTCGCAGCCACGTACATCTTCTAACGACCGCAGCAGCACTCGCGACAGCCCTGGCGCCGACCTACGACCTTCACCATCTACAAGACGTCGTCTCCTCAAGAGATATTCAACGCTTATTCTCGAGAAGATGGATAACAATGCACATTCATTGACTCTTTCGGGCGAGAAGGACATGGCGTTGAAGTCGAAGAATACCAAAGCGAGAGAGTTAGGTAGGACTTAGCGCTACTATCATTTGCCTCTGCAATCCCTTCGGGCCGTGTGCTCCCTCTCACAATCAGCTCGTTGTCCTGCCACGGAACGTTGCGGTGAGATGCATGATAGAAGACGATGTCATGGCTTACCAGGCAGATCCTTCACTGCTAGAAAACCCTATTAGGGTTTGTCATGTTCGCGCACTGCTGGGACATTTATTACCATTTCCCCGTGATGCAGTTGCGAATGCGCCAAGCTGCCGTTTCAAGGTGGCCCTGCCTCGAGACAAGCCATGTTGTTGTCGTAGATTTATGAGAATCAGCTGGCAATGGCTAAAGGCCGAAATCAGCATACACTTGTGTTCCGGAATTCTTTGGGTCCACTTTGTGTTCTCCAAGGAACGCGAGTTCCTTAAGGAACCGGATAGATCCGGAGTTCCCGTTCGCGAGATAAATTTGTCATGCTGGATCTGTTTGGTCTTTACGCAATTTTCTCTGACCAGCGTCCATATGTATCCACCGATACCATCATCATAACCTTACTGACCCGTTGTCACGCTTTCTTTTTCAGATTATTCTCATCCTCATCCTCACCATCTTCCTCCACCTCATCGTCAAACCTCTTTCTCTAAAAGACACGCATCGTTCGACTCACCTCGAGAGGTTCCTTTGCCTTCACCCTCGGCACAGCTTACAAGCTATCCTTTTCCTAATACGGTTTCATCCGCTCATCCGGCCACACACACCTCCAAAAGGCACAGCGCTGATCCGTCAGCGCAACCGCAATCTAACTCGCTCAGTCATCAACGTGCAGGTGGCAACAGTTCTGGAGACAACTCGGGAGACAGCTCATCTATTTCCTCACCCTCTTTATCGTCTACTCAGCTCGTGGGCAGAGCCAATACTTCTCCGCAGCTCGCCAGCGCAGTGGGAATGACACATTCCCCAGACCATTCCCCAAGCGCCCAACACTCACGGGATCAGACGGACCTTTATCCATCATCGGCACAGCTCTCTCAAACGCAAGATACACGCTTACAAACAACAAGCACCCCTGTATTCCCTTTTTCCCGTCCATACTCGTTACCGGACGCACACTCCAAAACTTTCAACGAGCCTTCTTCCGCGCAACCAAACTCTTCTCTAAAGTCAACGTGGATTGATCGGAGCTCAACAGCAAGCTTACCTTTGCCAATGCAAACACCATTTAATCTACTACCTCGCGTCTCGGGTTCAATTGATGAGAATAGTTCTTACAGGGAGAATGAGCAGCAGAGTTCGCATAGCGGAGGGACAGTGGAAGGCTTACGACCACTACCTGTACCACCTGTCCCGAGCTCTCCCGTGAACGATTCACATTCCAGGCCGAGGTCACAACTGACTTCAGACTCTATCGGAGTTCCATCTTCTCCCCCCCCACCATATTCTCGGTTTCTGTCTGCAGACCCTTATGCTTCCGGTTCTCGTTCGTTGTCGAGAACGGCTTCCACTTCTTCGAATTCATATCCGCCACCGGAGGCACCTGTAATCCTATCGCCTCCTTCCCCACCTACGGATTCTGGTGCCGGTATGCCATTGCGCGCTCCATATGAACCGTTTTTGTGCCACGCTCCACCTCCAGATACTTGGATTGCGGTAGAAACTAGGATTACCGAGTATTGTCTGCTCGTTAGATTACCCAGATTTCGAAGGGATGGAATGTGAGCTGGCTTTAGTACAGCCAAACTGGTTGGTGCGAACTAATTCGTTTTATAGCACACTTTCAACTCGAAGGCGTCGAATTCTGCATGTCGTTGCTGATTCTTGGGAGCCCGGTGGTGGTGCGTGGTTTGTATGATTCAAATGCATTTGTAGAAACTTATTTCACATCTTACTAGGTCACTTTGAGCGTCGTGTCTCTTTCGGCTACGATGCCGATCTAGCACAGGTTCGTGCCGAGTTCGATGGAGAATTGCTTCGTATTATTGTACCTCGTCGTCCGTCCCCAGCTACCTGTTTCGGCCCTCAAGGCTAGTGTTCGTTGCGGGCGTAACGCGTTAAAGCACCCAGGAATCCTTTCAAGCTTTGGTCCGCTCTAACTGTGGCTGAAAGGCTTCGCTTTTGAACAAGGTTTACTTTCTTCAAGAGGGCATATTCTCATACTGTGCGATGTCATCGGTGTTCTATCCCACTGACTAGCATCGGAACGTACTCTAATTTAGGCATGGCAGCTCATCTTGGATAGGCTCTTATCGGACATCACATCACCATCATGTATATTACCTTGACTCACCGCCCAATCTCCCACCTGTTTTTCCGCAATCAAGGCATCAAACTACACATTCTCAATACATTCGTATACCATCGCCATATCTTCTCCCCCTTATTTATTTGATAAGTGGATCTCCTTATCCGCTACTGCCGCCCCAACAACCCCTGTCAAACATCGACGTTGTCTATCACTATATATCCTCCAGTCTCGCTTTTAACAATTACATTACTTATCCCCTGAGTTTTAGTATCTATCGGAGGCCTCCAGATTATATTGTGTGCGTGGACGGCTCAGGTGCTTGTCCTCTGCTACTTTTCGCATCCTGCTTTCCTGCCTCAGCTCTGTTTGCTGTTCTGCTTCATGTCTTTAACACACTGTTTTATAATATGTGTAATGAAAGTTATACTACCAGCTTAGGTCCGGATTCCGAGTTAGCTTATGGAGTTATTGATCTTCTGTGGACCCGGGGGAATCAATAAAATCTGGGTTTTCTATAATGCCGCCAGTATTTTTGAAGGCGACGGTAAGGTTTATGCCATGCGATAAGACTATTACTCTTGAAGAAGTTGACGTGGGGAATAAACTTTCGGCGGCGGAGTCGCTGAGTACACGCTGACAGTATACTAGGAGAACATCCGACGGAGGACGGCGGGACCTGTTCCTCCTGTGAATGGTAATGTACTCATACTTGATTCTTATCACAGTAACATTGTATCTCATGACAAGCTCCTGATCACGATCATGATGCTTACGACGACCAGGTCAAACAGGACGGTATGTAAACGAACAATCCGGCATCACGTTTACTGGCGTGATTCCCTAATTCCGAAAGATGGGAGTCGTGCGCAGTCAAGTTTTGTTTTCCCTGGCACATGCTCTCCTTCGTTTCGATCGGACAGGTCTGATTTTACGAACTTACCACAACAAGTCGATCTTTTGGAAAGATACCGTGGGTTGGTTACATTAGGTAGGATTCAATACGATGCTAATCAGGTTAGGGTCGTGATGGAGGTAATGCTACTATGGTCACTTTGCTTGTTTTTAGTCACTGATGCAAAGCACTGTTTGATAGCTTAGGAGACTACAAAAGGTGTTGCGAGATTATGCACCCCCTGCATTGTCATCCGGCCTCTTTCATACTACTCCTATCACGGATGCTAGCTTTGGTACCACTGCCATATCGGAAGGTCCTTGGTGGTCTGATACCAGCAAGGAGGCCGAACTCACATCAGATGTAACATCCCTTGTTCGTATCAAGAGCCTCTCCGAGGAGTTGGCGTCTTTAGACACCCCCAAGGTAGGAAGGACATCCTGGATTGGCTGCGCGCACCTTGATAGATAATTTCACAGGGGCTCCTGCTAACCGGGTCTCCGGGATCAGGTAAAAGTTTCCTTGTTGACTTGTGGTATTCCTCCTTCCCATCGCCGCACAAGGCTCGCAAACACTACAATCAATTCGTAATAGAAATATACCGTGCCGTATGGGAAGAAACCCAGCGGAGAATGTCCGTCTCTCGTGCCGCCGCTATCGCCCCTGAAGAAGCCGCACCATGGAACAGGTCACTCCGTGAAAGCTGGCGAGAACTCAGCAAGCTAAGTTTACTGCCGACTAAGTGGACAAGGCGTTTGGGTCCTGGAAATAGTCTATCTGGCTCAACGCCTACTATTGCATTCATGGTGGCATTGCGATTACTCCGCCGTCACTGGCTTCTCGTCTTTGATGAAGTCCAACTTTTGGACGTGTCAAGCGCCGGATTACTGGCGGATGTTCTCTCGTGGTTTTGGCGTATGGGAGGTGTTGTCGTAGGCACCTCCAACAAAGTTCCGGATGATCTTTATCGTAATGGTGTCCAAAGAGAAAGACTCGAGCCATTTGTGGATGCGCTGAAAGCTCGGTGTCCTGTGATGGCTTTGGAATCAGAGCACGATTGGAGAGTTGTCCGTAATGGTGATGACAGTAACTGGTATACGTGGGATGAAAGCGAAGCCTTCGAGGACAAGGTCAAATCCAACTTTAGCTATGGTTTGTTGTATTGTGTATGGTTGTTGTACCTCATTGATTATCAGCTTCATCACAGAACCACGTAGCCAGACGCTGCATGTGTTTGGTCGACAGATAAAAGTACCCTGGGTATCGGGCGGTGCTTGCAAATATACCTTTGCGCAGCTATGTGAAGAAGTAATTCATTCAATTCACACTTATTATGCTGTTCTAATATTTCCCTCCGAAGTCTCTAGGATCTGCTGATTACTTGACGCTTGCTTCTAATTATCATACGATCATAATATCATCCATCCCGACCCTCGAACTTTCTGATAAGAACCAGGCTCGACGCTTCATTTCCCTAATAGATGCACTATATGAATCACGCTGCCGGATCATCTGCCATGCTGAAGCGAAACCTGAGGCCCTCTTTTTTTCTGGGGCAGGATTGTCGGTGGATGATGGACGAGATATTTTGCACGTGGAATCCCTGGGAGAAACACAAGATAGAAATCGCCCAAACATATCTACCTATGATTCACCCGGAATGTCAGAAGCTCCCATGAGCCCGGCTCCGCTAGCTCTAGATAAGTTATCAATATTTTCTGGTAAGTCACAGTAATTAATCATACTGCCCCTATTGATCGGCTGACATCTGGAGCTAGGTCAAGACGAACAGTTTGCATTCAAGCGTGCCCTTTCACGCTTAATGGAAATGTCGAGCTCGGTCTATTTCAGCGAGGAGAAGTGGACGCCTCTCCCTCCCAGTTCCCGTAAATGGGAAAGCGCATTGACAGGATCACTGCTTAGTAGACCTTCCACAAGCCCAGATTCCATTCGAGACGAGGACAGTATGAGAGACGACGAGTCAAGCAGAAAGGATACTGGCAACCACTTCAATTCATTGTTGGAACGGCCTGAAGCACCTCGGTTAAGCGAGGATCATATCTGGGGAGTAAGGGAGGACTGGGGAGAACGGGCGAAGGATTGGGGAAAGGGAGCCAGCGCATTTTCGGAGCCTTCCACATCGAAAAAGGGCCCTTCGTAGCCATAGCTCCTCTGTGTCTAGTTTTTATATTTTCGTCTACAGGAGCTACAGCTTGCTGTAATATTATATTGCTGTAGACAGTGTCCCAAGGAAAGGTCACCGCGGGTGAATAGGGGTCAAAAGAGGCGAGACGTTCCCACGCGTTTGTTGCGTTCCTCCTCTCCGCTTGGATCTGTGGTCAATCAAGACATGGCTACGAACGGGCAGTCGCCTGCAGCGTCAAGCACAACAAATCCAACAGCCAATGCAGCAAACATAATAACAGCCCTTGGCAATGCGTTCAAGTCGCAGACAGGCGACCCCGTGTCGGGTGATCGTATAGCCCAGCTACTTTTGCAGAACATGGGACAACTTGGAGAACTGGCGAAACAGGGAAAGCTCAACCAACAACAGATAATGCAGGTAAGGATATGAAGCCAAGATCCGTTGCCATTGTTGTAACATTCTCTTCCTTTGATCCCTTTGTCCTGCTTAAGCAGTTGAAAGAATACGCCGACAAGCACAGGACTCCTACCACTACCGCTGCCACAGCCAGCAGCTCAGCAACGACATCCACAGCGCCAAACCCCCCAAAGGTGCATTTGCATTCATTACCGCTTCATTTCTAGGGTTTCCATTTCTCATCATCATCATTATCATTTGCTGTGTAGCCAGCAGCAGCAGCAGCTCTTCCTGCCGCTGCTCCCGTGGCCGCTGTGACTACGAACCACGCAGCCTTCAAGAGTGGTTCTCCTGCTCCTGTCCTTACTTCGGTTCCAGGAGACGGCTACCCTATAAGCACAACGCTAAACACGACAAACCCAGGCCCAGTCCAGTGGGCCAGTGCGCAACAGGGCAGACCAACCCTTACCGGAGGTATTCCAGGTGGAAGAGTATCGGGTTCGTCTCTCAAATAGATTCCCTAGACCCAAACGGCCACGGTGCTTACTCATTTCTGAAGGGACGCCTGCCCAGGTTACTAAATCCTCGGACGACGCCAACATGCTGAATTTCGATGAAAGTCGTTCACGGAGAAAGAATACTCCTGGAGACCAGAGTATGAGGAGGTCAATACAGGATCTCGTATGCAGTGTCGACCCTCACGTACGCATAGAGCCAGAGGTGGAAGACGTGCGTCATCGTTCTTACAGCATGGCGTCCTATTGAAAGAACTCATACATAATCTATGTTACAGCTATTGCTACAGATAGCAGACGAGTTTATCGACTCCGTAACAAACTTTGGATGCAGACTAGCTAAGCATCGAGGTGGTGACACCCTTGAAGTGAAAGATCTGCAGCTTCATCTTGGTAAGGTAGCTTTGATTGATGTTGCTTTTAATACTCATCCCATGGCGCGGCTTAAGAACGTAACCACAACATACGTATCCCTGGCTTTGCGTCTGACGAGACTCGTATATCCCTGTCTCAATCTTCACTGGCACCCTCCGTGTCCGCGCCAACTACCAAAAAAACCGCTCAGGGTCCCAATATGACTCTCAGGAGCAATCGATTAGCCCAAGTGCAACAGGCAAAAAGGGAGGCAAAACTGATATAATATTTGTGGACTTGTTGCTTCACCTTTCATTCGTTTAACTTTCATTTTTAGAGGTGATATTTTTTTTTGGCTGTAGCCCATGATTGCATGTATTGATGTATAAATAATAATATTGTGCGCAGATATTTACTTTATGACGGGAGCGGTTAGCTGACCTCGAGCAACATTGTCTTGTCCTTGCTAGTGTATGTAAGATGAAGTGGACGAGAAAGCAATAATGTAGTGAGATCAACATGATCTAATGCAAAGAATAGATGTATAGTAACAGCAATGAAAATTGAAAGGAAATAAAGAGCGTAACTGCTTAGACAACAACCCCAGACGAGGAAAACTAACAACCAACCGAGAGATTCTGTCGCATTGACTCCGATTTAGACGACAGCAGGACAACCAATCCCTGGCCGCATTGCGCTTATAGCCGCTCGATGCTGACTGATTGCCAGAACTATGAACGCATGCCATATCGCGTGCGAGCCACCGCCGCAAAAATCAAGCCAATGTGAATGCTTTGGGGAAAGAAAACGCTCAGGTATGTGGGTGGCATAGAAAACTAGGCCCAGGAGATAAGATATGATTGAGGGCCATACGGGACCTGATGGGACGGTAAACTAGCAGTATATATGAAGGGGAATTCACTTACTTATGAATTCAAACATCTGTTGTGCGGAATGCAGATGTGCTAGCGCAGCTAAGGGAGCGACAGCGGAAAAGGCCAGTGAAAGAAAGAACGCTATACGCCAATGCTATATGCGAGTTAGTGTATGACTCGCGGAGTAGGTTGGTTTACACACTCTATAGGCAGGGTCGTTGAACCACTTGAAGAAAGGGAATGCATTTCCTGTGATTCCTGTGGTCAAACAGCACAGTAGAAACAGCTTCCCAACGTCTGGGTGACATTGAAAACCATAATGTACGACGGTGCCTACGCTAGCACTAATTAACCTAATAAATGAAAATGAAAATGAGATAACCGATTGTAACGATTATATAATTACCAGCCAATGCCGACGTAGTCGATTCGAGCACACAGCTCCATACCCTCGGGATGTGCACAGCCTGCCATAGTGTGCCACAGTACACTGCTGAATAGACAGAAAAGTGCAAAAGATAGGAATGCAACTTCCGGGGGATCAGACAAACTTGTGGAACTAAGCAAGGGGATTAAGTTGATTAGCCACAGTAAAAATGGGATTAAGTGTGTGTATATATTAACTAAAACCATGTTATTGCATAGACACACACAGAGAACCGTTCAACGCACGAGTTTCATTATGAACAGCAAACAGGGACATGATTATAAGGGGCCATTTCTCGATCGGAATGAAACTGTATGCGATATCATTAAGTTTGACGGACGGTGCTCGGAGATAAGGTGCTTACCGATATCCCCCAGTAACAAATGGGTTGTTCCTCCACTGAGGCGGTAGATCGACATACTGGATAAGGCGCGACCCATGGAAAGACTGTGAAACCGCACGGGTAATGTCCCTTGCAGCTCTTTCCAGCATATCTTCTGCCTCAGTAACATCGTCAGAGAGCTCCGTGAGTAGCTCCGAGGAAAGCAACGAGTCTAGAAGATCAGATAGCACGGAGTTCGGCTCGAACGATGGAAGGTCACTCGAGTGGAACTCAAACGAGCTGAGATGTGCTTGTAGGGAATGTAGTCGATCGGACAGTGTAGGTATATAACCCAAAGGCGCCTGGAAATCTAAGTCAGAGAACCTGGAACGAACATCGTCTAGTCGTGAAGTGATGTCCGGCATAGAAAGGGCAGGAAGATGCGACCGAACGTCAGGCATATCTGGGAGCCGTGAGCGCATATCATTGAAGGATGAAACGCTAGGTAAATCGGGAAGATGAGATTTGACGAACTCCTCGACTGACTTGTCGGGTAGATGAAGTCCTGGAAGATGCCAGCATACATCCGTGCGTATGCTTTGCAGCATGTCTATTGCGACTTTTGCCCACACCCTGATCTCCTCTACCTTTGACTCCCCTTTTGATTTGAACATTTCAGCGATGCCAATGTCAGATATAGGGGACTCCAACTGCGACAAACGGTATTCCAGATCTGCAAGATAGGAAAGGATGACAACCCGAAGAGATGCCAACGTTTGCTTTGCAGACACAGTGGAGAGGTCCAAAGCCTCTAGGGACTGGTTACGACGACGACAGGACGGTGAGCGTATATCCTGGGCGCTGTCATCGTTGGTCGACAGACGTCGTCTGACATGACGGAAACGAATTTCAGGAGCTTTGTCCGTCGCAGTCGACATGTAAAATGAAAAAGAAAGGACGATGGACAGATGCAAAAACAATAGGTAAGGCGTCTACACAGTTCAGCCCATTGGTGGTTTGAGGTGAGGCGAACTGCTGCATGCGCCGGCACAACACCCGGCCAGGCCGACCGCCGGTCTTGGCAACGCGGGGAACGCACGTTTTATATTTTCTTTAGCCTGAATTGGTTTGAAGTCGCTGTGACCATCGAGCTCGAGGTTCGTGGTTCGTGTGGAATGAGTGCTGTAAGCTTGCTGGTCGTTGGTTTGGGAAACTTGCCGTTTCCACTCACTAGACACAGGTATCTTTCTCAGAGCAAGCTCAGAGACGTGAGCTGATCAACTATTGGATCAGTGTAGGACACCTTATCGTTGATGCACTGGCTTTGCGATTGGGCGTGTCAATGACTACTGATAGAACCATAGGTGGATATAGTGCCCATACGGCCATTCCTCTTGGCGAGACGCTGGCTTCCATGACACTCTACAAGCCAAGCACGTACCTTCATTATATGCTCAAAATGACCGTGTTCATGTTGTTCTCTTCCCCTCAGAACCTCTCATGAATGTTACCGGATCTGCTGTTGTTTCTGCGCTTCGTAAAACGGTGAAGTCACCGAGTGCCATGGTCGTCATCCACGACTCACTCTCGCATAGACCAAAAACCATCTCACCAAAGTACGGAGGTTCTGCCAATGGACACAATGGCGTTCGAAGTTTAATATCGGCCCTTGGCGGCGAAATGGATTTTCACCGTTTGCGTATCGGCATAGGTAGAGATGGAGGCGATGTGGCTGAATATGTTTTGGGAGAACTATCCTTTGAAGAAAAACAATTCTGGCGTGACAGTGGGAGAGGTGTGGATCTCGTGCTGAAAGAGATAGAGAAGATAGCATCCCGGACATTGAGTTGAGAAGCACCGTCAGATAGTGAGTCATTTGCTCTGTACTTGTGAATTCTTCTGAGCACTTGATCAGGTTCTAGCTGATGCTTCTAACGACAATGAAGCTCTGTCGTTCTATCGATCTTTCCACGTCACTCGAGTCATCTACAGAAGGAATGTTCTTTGGCGGCCGCAATTAGCGAGGCACTCAAGGTCGGTAAGACAGTCCATATAGACCAAAAGGCTACAACAACGCTGTAAGTCGAGGGCTTCTGGGGTTCTATACTTCCATGATAGAATTCCGTTATAAGGGTGCCGATGCCGAGGTCATGCGGCAAGTCGAGTGAGATAACCGTAGATAGAGGGCAAACCTCGACCAGTTGCAGGCTTGTGTGCAGTAGGTAGTGATACGCGGCAAGGTACTATTAATCTATCCTATCTTCACCGTCCTCGCATTCTGTGTGTAGCATGGCTCCATGAAAGTGCGATAACACTCCCTCCCAAAGGTAGATGAACGGAAATCAAAGAACATACTAAGAGAGCCGTGGAGATATGACCACCAAGGCACCACCTAAGTATCGTCTAACAGAAGTCACGCGTCGCGGCGCGTCGCATATGCTTTCGGAGGTTGTACATTTATCTCTTTTGCACCTGACTTCCTTTCGAAATCACGCAGGCTTCCATCTCGCATGCATACGTCAACCCAGCTTGTTCCATATGCTACAATATCGAAATCACAAACGGAATATTCATGCGGGAGCCTGATGACGGCGATTAATACGGCCATGATGCACAATATAAAGCTTCTGTATGACTATGACCATGGCTCCCGAGTATCTGACCGAACTCAAATCTTCGCGACGTCCAAGCTTCTGACAGCGACGACATGGGCCAGTTATCTTTCCGTTGGCTGCCACTTGCAGCAGTTGCAGCTTCTATCGGCACTACTTTCGCCCAACCTTCCCCAGAGGTGCAACAGAGGATCAGTGCTGCTATCGCAGCTGCAGGAAACTCAACCAATATAGACTACACGGCGTTCGTAAATCCATTCATTGGAACAGGTCAGCTTTCCAGTCTCTACGGTTTGGTACCTTTGAGCTGATTTCTCTTCTGTAGACAACGAAGGAGATGTATGGTCAGCTTGTTGATTTTGCGCATGGTATCTGGACAAGTCTGATTGCTCTTACAGCCCGGGCGCATCGATACCATTTGGAATGGTGAATAATAGAACTGCCAATTACTGCATGCCATTGCTTACCTTTGTCATAGGTCAAATTCTCTACAGATATAACCGGCTATGCTCCCGCTGGTGAGCTCTTATTCTCGTTATGACTTAATAGTTTCTTGAAACTGACAATGAGATATCTAGGATACATCGTAGATCCTACTCAAAAAATACGAGGCATCAGCCCCATGCATGATAGCGGAACAGGTTCTTCTTTGGGAACATACGGAAACTTTGAAATCATGCCTCTTTTGTGTCCAGGTGGTTTTGACACGTGCACCACAACACTGCAAGCACGGGAGCGATACCGCAAAAATAATACTGACGGTAGGTTCGAGTTTCGATTGTGAAGTCGCGCATATATTCAATATACTGGGAATGTCAGACGCGTATCCTGGTTACTTCTCGCAGACACTTGACAATGATATCCAAATTGAGGCTACATCTACGCGTCGTGCCGGGTTGGAACGTTTCACGTTCCCGCAAGGATCCAAGCCGTACTTTGTCCTTGATTTAGCTAACGACCTCCCTGCAACTTGGGCTGGCGGCTCCATGGACATTGACCCCGACAATGGGAGAATCACCCTGGGCGGGCACTGGGGCTCTAGGTGAGAAGCGCTCATTTGATGTAAGCTTCGTGACGTGAAAACTCGGTAAATTCAGCTTTGGCCCTACTTCCTTCAACTATCAAGCGTTTGCTTGTTATGATCTCTTGAACAATGGAACTCAGAAACTGAGCGAGTACGGTGTGTGGACAGGTGATACGTGAGTAGTAAGAATGTGGCTTATAAATTTGAGCTAATGGTTTGGCATACGAAGGTATGGTCTCGACGCGAAAGGTCTGGGACAAACGCATCTCAACCTCTCTGTCAACCTTATTGGCGGCACGCCATATCAGTCTGGAGCCCTTTTCTCGTACGACGGGACACCTGAGCAAGTCAACATCCGGGTTGGAGTATCGTTTGTGTCAACGGAACAAGCTTGTCAAAACGCCGAGTCTGAAGTTGGAACGACATCTTTCGATGGCATTGTAAACGCCTCAAAGGCACTTTGGAATGAAAAATTGAGTAAGATTGAGATTGATGTCCCCAATACCCCACCAAACGTGACGGAGATGTTTTACACATCTTTGTATAGGGCATCCTTAACTCCTGTGGGTATTTATCCAAGTCTCTGTTAATGCCCACTTGGCTAACTATTATCCAGAATAATGCTACGAGCGAAACCCAAGGTGTTTTTGCGAATACTACTTCATTCTACTTCGATTCCCTCTACTGCAGTTGGGACACAGTCAGTGCCATCTTCACGATACCACATCACATTCATAATTTGTGTTATTTGTTCTATGCAGTTCCGCACTTTCTATCCCCTGATGACCCTCCATTCTCCGGTAGAGTTCGCACAAATTGTGGATAACTACATCGATGGCTGGCGAAAGAACGGTTGGATGCCTGAATGTCGAGCCAACAACCTTCCAGGTTGGACTCAAGGAGGTACGACCTAAATTATCTCCATACAGAGATCCTTTTACATATAGAGGGGAAAAAGGGTCCAGCGGTGATAACATCGTGTCTCAGTTTGCTATCAACTACCACAACGAGGCGCAAGCCTTGGGAGTCGACCTAAATGAGCTATACGCCGCTCTTAAAACTGATGGCGAAGTTAACCCCCCTGAGTGGAATATCGAGGGTCGCCAGATCAATGTTTACAAGTATGTGATCCCACTAGTTCATTGTCCCTTTTTTATTAATGTTATATGAAGACAAAATGGATACGTTCCATTTGCTGTACTAGATACAGCAAGCACGGGTCGCCAAACTAGAGAAGGCAGCAGAACACTCGAGGTGTGCTCATCGTCCACTGCATAGCATAGATATCTGAACAGCCCAACAGTATGCTTTCGAAGATTTTGGTATTCGTCAAGTCGCCCTGCTCCTCAACCAAACGGATGACGTTGCTGAGTACACGAACCGGTCTTACGTATGTTTCTGACCCTTGCTACTGTGACGTTATTTTCAATATCTGTGGGCTTGTAGTTTTATCGCAATGTCTGGGATAAGGACGTGACCAGCAATGGGTTCCAAGGTAAGGAACGCGTTGCTTGGGATTTATGTTCAAGCACTCAGCGCTATTTACAGGATTCGCCCAGAAACGACTTTCCAATGGGACCTTCGTATACACAGACCCCATTGACTGCTCTTCCCAGGATACCAACCAAAGCAGGTCGTGCTCGCTCCAGGAAGACAATATTGTCGGCTTTTATGAATCATCTTCCTGGGAATATAGCTGGTGAGCCGTTTGTTTTTGCTGGTGAGTGACCCTATAACAGTACTGGTCATTGTCGAAAGGTATGCACCCCATGACACTGCTTATCTCATCGAGCTTATGGGCGGAAACGTGAGTTCCAAGATTTGAAAGAAAAGTGTCATGTCTAATGTCAAACCTGTAGGACACCTTCGTAAAGAGATTAGACTACTTTTTCAACGTAGCTTTCACAGTTTCACACTGTATTTCCTTCTGACTTGTACTGATAATTCTGTTACATCTAGGAAGGCTATTATTTGCCAGGAAATGAGCCTTCATTCCAGGTTTGTTGTTTTGACATCTGTACAGCTTATAACATTTTCTCATCAGAATTTCAGACTCCCATTGGATATCATTACGCAAACCAGCCAGCCGACTCAGTGGATCGTATCCGTGACGTCGTTCTGACAAACTTTGACATCAGTACGTTTCACGCAAGGTTTGAAACGCTTGGAAGGTTTTTTAAAAAATATGTCCTTAGCCCCTGCCGGTCTGCCCGGTAATGATGATCAAGCTGCGATGGCAACGCTCCTATGCTTCCACCTGTTAGGCTTGTATCCTGGTAAGCTGCACCTCATTCCCTAACTCGTATGCGTATGCATGCTAATGCTCCTACAGTCCCGTCCACATCGCATTATCTGATCACCTCGTCCTTTATCCCAAAGTACACTATCCACAACAGCTATTTGAACACTAGTACAACGATAACTGTCCAAGGGTATGATGCCAAATCCGTCCAGTCACCCATTCCGAGTGGAGTGGCGGCATACGTGAAAAACGTCACCGTAAACGGCCAAGTGACGGCATCAAGGTGTTATGTCGATTTCTACGATACTTTCAGGCTCGGAGGCAACATAGTCATCGAGCTCACTTCGAACAAGACAGAGGCTAATGACTGTGCAGGTCCCTTGCCCGCAAGTTTGTCGACAGGGGGTTTCAGCAGTGTGCGATGATCATGTTAGTCATCTGGTTGGTATTGTACAATGTGAAGACTTCCGGAAATAAATGTTATTATCCGAGTGAAAACAACAAACTAAAAATTACAAAGTTATGTACACACAAACGATGCCAGTTAGTCATAAATCAAATATCGAAAGCGTAGACAACGTATAGCTAAAGGTCATGAGGAATGAAGATACAAGTTATACAATTACTGTAACGTTGACACCAGATTTTGTATCATCCACAGGGGCAAAGTTGATTCTGACCAAATGCTATCAGCACACTTTGCAAGGCATAATAGTAAAAGGCGACTCACCTCAATTCAGCCATGACAGCCGTCTTCAGGGATAAAATCGCTGGCTTTTTTGCATGTTTAGCATTGTTGGTGATCGAGAAGTGGAAGACAATGGGATTAGCGTCCACTCTCTGGAGTAAAAGGTTAATGATGGCATCTGAGACTACAATCTGTGCCTCGTCGGGTTTTTTGCCTGCGACAGAAACAACGATCGGCCCTTCCGAGAGGGGAGCAGCCACTGTAATAAAGTGAGATATAGTTTCAACATCATAAGTAACATAACGACTTACCGAGATATACTTTCTTATCAGCTTTGGCTTCCAGATCATTCAACTTCTTTTGGACCTCGTCCAGCTGTCCCTTAGCCTGTTCACCACCTTTCTTAGCTTTTACGAGACTATAGTGCATCTTGTCCAATTCGTCCCGCTTTTTCGTCTGTATCTCTATATGCCTCTTCAGAAACTCTCTCCGCTTAACCATAGCTTCACGTTGATCATCTTCAAGTTCTGACTCCGAGATATAATTTTCGTTTGGTTTGTCGGCAAGTTTTTCCGGATCGCTGGTACCATTTTCATTTTGCTCGTTATCGCCATAGATATCTGTGAAAGCGGGAGGTGGTGTACGATTGTCTGGGTCTGGGTAATCTTCGTTTATTCTGCTAGGACCAGCGTCGGGTTGATCTATGGGTTCAGCAGGTGCGAAATGTGGTATCTCCGGCTCAGGCATAGACATCGTTGCGAAGCCGTCTCCCGATTGCGCGGGAAGAGACTGGGACGAAGAAGCGGGTTCTTCCTTTGCCTCAGTCTTTTCCGCAGCTGCCTCTTGGGCTTTATCGTTCGTGGCACCTTGAGCCTTACTTGCATCTTCGGAATTGGATCGTCCACCTATTTCGTCCATAACTGCCGTCTTTGTGTCCTGCTGCTCGGACTGTTCTCCGGCAGTATCTGTTCGCATCAGCATCGAGCGTTTCCAGACTTCCTTAGAATCAAACACACTTCTCGTCTCGAAAACGCTGCCAACGACCGATCCAGCGCGAGTTTCTGGGAGGGGAACTTGGTGTGGCTGTTTAAATTGTGAATCGAAGAGGAAGCCGTCAGGGATCGAGGGAAGGGTTTCTATTCTGGGTGTAGCCTGATCAGGATTGCGTTCGTCGGCGTCGATCAAAGAAGCTGCAACAGGGTACAGGGAAGAGGTACCGTGCGTTGGTGTTCGTTGATGATCGGTATTGGGTATCACCGTATGAACTGTAGACTCGGCGAGCATAGTAGCACCCAAGCCTACCGCTGCAGCAGTCATAGGCGTAAATAGATTTGGGCCGCGGTCCATAGGTGGGATGGGAAGAATGGGATGGTGAGCTTGAGGTGTCCTGATGTGTATTTGATCGCCGAGGTATTCTAGTTCTTGGTCAACGTGGGAGGGTATGATGGAAGGGGTGGTGACTCCGCGCGAGATATCGACGTCGGTTTCTGACCAGCCTGAGGCACCGGGAAATGTTCCTGGAGGGCTGCGGCCCTGCCTTCGGGGTGGGCCTTGTACAGGGGCGGGGGCGGGAGGTGGAATGCGAGCGCTTCGAGGGGAGGTGACGGTTGAGTTTACTCTGGCATGGGATGCGGATGGAGAGAAGAGTCTCGGGAGGTCGTTTTTGATCCTGATTTCTGGAATAGACGGTAATGTGACGGATCGTTGGACGGAGCGGACATCCCGGCGTATGGAACGAAAGAGATAGCGAAAGCCAGAGTCGCGGTAGATGCCGGGGCCGATGTCTGCGAGGAGAGCGCCGATACCAGCCCATACGACGACCATTACCATCCGCGAAAGGGACTCTGTTATTAAGAAATCGATAAAGATACGGACACCGAAGGCAAGGTACGGGTCGGGTGAGCGTGGCATTCTGCTGAGGAAATGATGAACAACTAAGCCTTCCCAAAGGCCGATGAGGGTGCCTGTAGGGATAATGAACATGAAGGAAAAATAAACAGCCGATCATACGCATGTTGCAGATGAAAAGCATGTTTTTTTCATAAACATCTGTGAGTGGATGGTAAAAAGAGGGATAGAACGAACCTGCGACCCGGACGTTGTCGCTGCTCACGACATCGACGAAAAAACGAAAGACGAGACCTGAAGCGATTGCTAATATGCTGTCCATAAAATATTAATATTGAGCTGGGAATAGCATTCCTGGACGGCGAGTTCTATGATCTGGAGCTGGGCGAGGTTGGCGTGAGGAAACAACGATGCAAATGACCAAACAAAGCCTTTGTTTGTACACCCACGTTGCTTTCCCCTCCTCGCCGTCGTCGTCGTCGACACCGAGCTCGCTGCCCAGCTCGTATTGCATACCGCTCTCTCCCATGACAGTACAGTTCACCCCTGCCACCACTCTGACCCCTTTCGAATATCGTGGTTACGTGGACCCACCATAGAGCCTCAATCAATGGCCATCACCGGAAGTCTATTTTCTTTCCTGTCTGCAACTAGCTCGAGCACCTTGGACCTTTTCTCGTCTGTAATACGACGCTCACACCAGACTGATTCACGGTATATTCTCCAGCATTTATGCAGCCCATAACTCCATGTAGCGTCCAAATCATGTTGTGACTAAGCAACGAATGTTACTGTCCTTGTCCACTGAAATAGAAGTTTCTTGTTACTGCAGTGCCATGCTCCGGAAGACACGCTTTTACAGCAACTTGTCGTTGACTTGTGTTTTACCGCGCAGGCGAGCATAAAACAAAAAAGGACCTTACATAATCGCGGTACCAGGTATTTCCTAATATGGTATTTCTATTGTTTTCAGTTTACACTTGCATAAAGCGAAGAACAATGAAAACGCGGTGTATTGGCCCGATTCTGGTAGCGCGTCACAATGACCATCAGCTCTCTAAAAAGGACAATCCATGGGAACCAAATCTCCTGCTCCTTGGGTCCTCTTTTCTGTCTTTCTTTTTTCTTGACCCTTCTGTCCACGACTACAACAACTACTAGACTCTCTTCGACGTCGCAGGGCGACTCCTTCTTCTACCCTCTTTTTACACCATGTCCCTCTCTTCTCAGCCTCCTCGCTGGATGTCTCCCCCTCCAGTTTACGACGCCCGCTCATCTGCGCAAACATCCTCAACGTCTCTCAGGCCGTACCTTCAGCTTCCTCACATCCTCTCTCTCACATGGCTGGCTTATCCAATTCTCTCGCTGCTCTTCGTCATATTCAGACTCCAGCTCTCATCCTCTTCTGCGCAGGCAGCCGTCGCGAACGCCAAAGGCGACCTTCTCACCGCTTGCCAAGCGGCTGAGCAGGCTGCCACAGCTGCTGCGAGTATGCCTCGTTACATGGCTATTGCTTCAAACGAGCAATTTGCAGACGCTGTAAATGGTACTATGAATGGCGCCCGGGCTGCCCTTATCCTTGCACTTACTGCAATGGAAGCTATCATCAACTTCCTCATCGACATATATCGCTCCACCTTTCTCTGTTTCCTCGAATTAGTGGTCACAGGTGGCCTGGCTTTGCTCATCTCTGCAGTCCAAGACGTACGTTTATCACACTACAACCCTTACAGTTAACTAACGCCACTGTTAAGATTACTTCATTCCTGCAGAGCACGTTGAACAGTATCGTCTCTGGGCTTAAGAATGATGCCACGTCACTGAACTCAGCCATCCAGACTGCAGTCTCAGCGGTCAACAAAGTCAACCCATTTGGCACCATCCAAGCCCCACAATTTAATATTACTAGTCTTGATGCCCTATCCAACATCACCATTCCGACTACTTTCGAGAACACTCTGATTTCACTTAACAATTCTCTACCCACGATTTCTTCTATCAAAGATTCAATCCAGGATCTGTAAGTTGATATTTATTACTATTGCAAGATAATGTTTATCCTCATTTATTATAGTGTTGACACACCTTTCGAGGCTGTGAAGGCGGACATCAACAACACCTTCCTCGGGCTTTCATTTGATTCATCTGTTCTGCCTGTTCCTGAACAGAATACCTTATCTTTTTGCACTGACCTCGATACCTCATCTGTCGATAACCTCGGCCAGGATCTGCTCAGCATCACGAAGATCGGTACCATCATACTGATTGCTATTGTGCTCCTTCTCTTGGCAGGACATTCCGCCCTCGAGTGGTACAAATGGCGTTGCCTTAGGCAACACTTGCAGAACACCAGGGAGGCCTGGGTTTCGGATCCTACGCTGTATCACACAGGTCCTACTCAGTCCGCTCCCTCAGTAACACTCTCAGATCACAACTTGCTTATGCTCCAAGTCGATTCCGCGCATCCCCTTCTAACTCGTATCGCCAACTTCCTTTCCACCCGTCTACGTCTTTCGACCACACAGCACATTCACCTTCGCTGGTTCTTGCATTACATCTTCCACCCACCCGCACTCGCTTGCTTCCTGATTGGCTTCTTTGGTCTGTTGTCTGTACAGGTGCAGCTCATTGCTATCGGCCCGCTCGAAGCCAAGTACTCTGCCCAGGCAGCTGCTAGCGTGCAGGATCTTTCGACGACGATTGCCTCGCAGGTCAACAATAGTATGTACAACCAATCGTCGACCTACGCCAGTGCCATCAACGCCAAAGTGGATACTGTGCAGGCCACGATCAACAATGGCGTATTTGGTTGGGTGAACGGGACGACTACTACGCTGAATGACACGCTTAACACCTTTTACAGCGATGTCCAGAACATCGTCACTACGGTGTTCAATGGAACGATTCTCGAGACTCCTGCACAGGACTTTATTAAGTGCATCATCGGTTCCAAGGTCACTGCGCTCGAGGAGGCCCTCACATTCTTGAATGAGAATCTAAAGGTTAACATACCCACCGTCAACGAGAGTGTGCTCGTGCTCTCTCCGTCGGACGTGAATGACCTTACGCAACCTATTGCTACTGCTGCGATAGGCGGAGGACAGAACAACTCCCAAGGTCTCATCGGGAGGCTCGTCGCCACGTACGTCGACTCTCTGCTATTGGAACGCATCATGTTTGCCATCTTCATAGGCCTGTGGGGCATTGTCGTGCTGATGGGTCTTTCTGTCGTGTTTTGGCATTCATATGGCAAGGACTGGGTTGAGTCGTATAAGAAGCGAAGATGGCAAAAGGAACAGAGGGATGGGCTTGGTGGATTCGTGGTGCCTTTCCGGGATGCACAGCCCGCTAATGCTCCACCCAGAGACGAGGAGAAGTGCATGGAGAAGCAGGAACACATGGATCTCCCAGCATTCACACCTCTTCCCGAGTCTCGCTCCAGTCTTAGTATCCGTGCCGTTCGACGGTCTACTGAACCTGGTACGAATACCAATCATCCTCTTACCTTGCTGGAGCCCAAATTCGAGAAGAGCTGGGATAGCTTCCACCGCGACGCAGAGGCAGATAGTTCACAGCCGTCTCTCCTATCTCGCGCCATAAGTAGGCCGAAGAAGTTAATGGCTTTGTCCAACATAGCACCGAGGGATAATACCAACTCCCAGTTCGGTGGTGTTGTTGCGCGGCCAGCTGAGCCTCCGCAGACGGATGGTGGCTGGTTCAAGAACTTTGGCGGACTCTTTCGCAAGAAGGATCGACCAGAATCCGAACTCGGCTCACAAGGCAGAACTTCGCCCCGTCGTACCCGTCCTCAGCTCACGATTTCGACAGAACGTGCTGCCAGCCTGAAACAAGGTGATCTTCCTACTGTGGAAGTCTCATCGCCAGACGAGCGGCCGCCAGTTTCTGCTTGGTCAATATCCCCCACGCCTCCTTCCTTACCCCCTCTCAAGAACATAAGTCCTCCCAAACCACCTGCAAAGAAACCTGTTCCAATGGGTCTACCGCCCGCTATCCGTCCTACAAAGCGCAGAAACGCGAGTGTGCCAACTGATGTTGATTCTACGTACGACGACTCCACTCTGCTTATTCCTAAGCACACACGACTCGAGATGGCGGAGAAAGCGAATCCTTTCGCTGTCGCAATCCATCATGCCTTCGAGTATCATCCCTCACCCCCGCCGGTCCCGTCCCCCGCCTATCGAAAGTATCCCAGCACTTTGCGGGGACCTACGACCTATCTGCTTCCCCCCAAAGAAAAGCATCGGCGGTCTTCCAGTGTACCTGGGTCGCGGATAATGCCACCAGGTTTGGCGCAGGCACCAAACAATGCAACAAATGAATCGCAAGAGTCTACGCCTGTGACGAGGCTCCTTACGACCACTCATGCGCGTCACTCGAGCGGCGCCGTCGATCCATTTGCTACACCTTTTGATGATGAAGCCCGTGTAGCGTCCAGCCCTGGACCTCTCACTGCAAGGAGAAGCAACCCGTTCGCTGGGTTTGCCTTGTGAGACATGAGATCATGCCTTTCGCCCATGATTTGCAAGAGCTATATATTCTAAAACACTGATACACTAATTCTTTCCGCTGATTCACCCTTCATCATATATTGATAGCCCAGCACTTACTTTCTGTGGATCTAGTTCATCATTTATGTACTTTTGCTAGTTGACACATTGCTGTGTATTTTTACAAATCTTTCCCCTAACTCATCCCTGCTGGTACTCGGACTTTCATTGATATTTCTGTAGCATTGGAACGAAACGTAATATACGAATTGAATGTCAAGTAGCAACTCTCGTGAAATACCAAAATAACCAATCGAAAAGTGGATAATTAAGTACCATTGGCAAATCTCCTTTTCATATGCCCCAAACCTCATCCGCTTGTGTAAAATCTCAGTCCATCAGAAGAAAATTGGAACCTTCGATACCAAGAACCAAGATGTTATATTGTACATAGCAAACATTCACTTCGAGACATGAGCAGGAAGTTGGATAAACCTACTTATCTAACGGTCCTGGAGGTCATTGAGCAGACGGAGAATGTTGATGACTGTGAAAGCAAAAAGTCGATGAATATTAGTAAGCCACTATCGGAACATGGAAGAACACACAAAGATTAATGAAACTGGTGATAGGAGATAAGTCAACGTGGTTGATTCTCAGAAGACACTGCCAAGTACGTACTCGAGGTAGAGACTGATCGATCCCATGATGAATTCGTCGGGAGATAGTCTGCGGTTGATCACATAGGTATCGTACACGATGTATCCGCTGAAGATGAGACATCCGCCGATAGCAAAAATGAGATCCATCGTGCGTCCGAAGGGAATAAACACGCCAACGATGCCTGTCATCACTGCAGAGACACATGTCAGATAAACAAGATACAGCTATCCGTCAACAGAGGAAGACATACGAAGGGCCATGAGGCCTCCGAAAAGCCAGGGGCCTAGTCCAGAGAAGTCGTACTGCGAGTGGCTAAGCATAAATGCACATGTTCCGACACGTGAATACATACCTTTGACTGGAACGTGAACAGTGTCAAACCTAAGAATACCCCTAAGGTAATCAACCTAGGCCATGGTTATTATGTGTAGGCAGTGAGGCGACATTATAACAACTTACAGGGCCTGAAGCACGATGGCATTATTGTAAAACGCGACCACAACGCCTAAAGAGAATGCTTCGAGAAGAGTAAAGGTCGAGAGTAAGGCGAAGTTGATCGGATGGCTGTGACGCTTCCAGTACAATAGGCCTAGGTTGACAAGGGTACCAAACAACGAGACATAAAAAACCCAGGTGCTACAAAACCGTGAGAGACTGAACAAAATAAGGATCGAAAACACTAACTGTGTCTGCACCCATACGATTGCCGAAAACGACTGAGATAGGCCTCCGGCGACGATGCAAGTAGCGAGCTAGTGATGAAGAATGTTAGTGAACGAGTATGCAGTACAGAGAGGGGACGCACTATTTGACAGACTACACAGGAAGCCATTAATTGAGAGTGCCTTGGTAAAAGCAAAGTTGTCACTTACAGAGGATAGTATATACTTTCCTAACAAATGCGTTCCTGACTTCTGCTGAGCTCTCGGAAACGGTGACTCCATACTATTCATGACAGGAACATTTGAGCTCACAGTTACAGAAAATGATGGGTTTCAATGAGTACATACCTTGAAATCGTCAGGGAGCTCCCCCTCGGCTGGCTGATCATAAATACCGCCACCTGGAGACCTAGTACGACCAAGCAGAGGCTCTGCGGCATCGTCCCTTGGAGAATAGCGGGACTTATTGTTATTGCTGGACCCTGAGGGGCCATATGAGGGAGGTGGCACTGGATATTGGCTTGAGCTCATTGTCGTGGTTGAAGCGAAAGATGTGATTAGGAATACGGGACTTGGCTGCACTGGCGCCACCTTGTATACTCTTTTGAACCCCGCAGCTTGCACCGCAACAGCTGAGTCAGCTAATTGAATTCTTTCGAGTTCCTGCCAGTGCAGCTTCTATAGCGCACCTGGGCTTCCCTCAATGAACATCGCAAGGCTTACAGCTTGTCGAGTTCTAATCCTTCGACTTCTTTCCATCCAGAACTGCCTTTCGAACCTCCAAGTACAAATTGGCAACTTACGTTCATTGAATCTCGTCTCAAATCTGAACGAATGGCACATATTATCCCCGCAAATAAAATAAATACAGTCATCGACTCGTCGCAATTGGAGCCTAAACCCAGAAAATCATCTTCTCATGTTCCCCGTCTTCCATATATACCCCCTCTTCTCGGACCTTACTACAGCGATATCTTGTATGTTACGCAGCAGGGGTCACGGCACCGGTGGAAGCCGCCTTTTGCACCGTCGGCGTGGCTGACACACCTGCTGCTGGGGCAGTGACAGCAGTATTAGTACTCGCAGCCATGGGTGCTGCCCCTCCACCGTAGTCCGCATTCTTGATTACACGACGAATGACCTCTATCGGTTTCCCTCCAGCCACTTCACTGTCCCTGTGTGTCTTCTGTGCATGGATCTTCGCAAACGGAGAACGTCTGTTGTGATGGTGTTTGTTGTCTTGCTCGTTCGGCGTGTTGTGGTTCTCGTGGATTCTGTTGGTATGATCCCCGAACTTTGATGGTACGATGCCTGTAGAGCTTGGGAGAGCGTTTGTGGTCGGGAGATTGCAAATCGCCAAGGACAGAGTAGTAATATAAGCAATGAGGGTATAGGTGCGCATGTTTCAAATGTTGTTTGATGGCCGGATGATTATGGTGGGTACTGTGGCTGGGGGCGAGCTTAACCAAGTGAAGGTGGTGATGAAGGAGGAGATAGGACTCCTAAATCCCAGAGTGAACACTTATATACTGAGGGAGGCTGACAACGGTTTGACCCAAAGGCGGCTGACACTGGTCGGTTCAGACGAGCTCAGAATCTTTTGAACCAATTTTCTGACAAGTCTGAATACGCCAGTATTGTCGATTGTCAATGCTCGCGCAATCCCAAGTGAATCAGCAGTAGAACTATACCCCTTGCATCTGAAGCGCGACCGTTGAGACCAGTGTAGGCCGGCGTTTAATCTTAAAACATGCATTTACCGGCATTATGACTGGTTCCTTGGTTCCTTGCATTCATTTCATCAATTTCGATCACTTCACGCAAGTAGTGTGCACTTTTTTTAAATTCAGGTTATGTATCAGTTCAGGAGAAAACATACGTCTGAAGTAGAGTACACGTCTGTTATCCATCTCAGTATAGGTTTGTAGGGAATTGATGGCAAGTGATCAAACTCCAAAAAGAGCACGTTCTGGTAAACCTAGTTCCCTGCAGATCACTTGCATGTGTTGTCGCTCCTTTTCTGTCGCATTGTCCCCAAAGGCAGCGTCCATTTCCTCAAGAGTCTGTGAACGCTTATACTTAGCAACCGATTCATTAACTCGTAAAGAAAATCATTACCCTTCCTCTGGTTTCAGGTATAAAAAGCCCTACACATCAGAACCATCAGTGATGGAGCCCTTTGGTAGAAATGAGACTTGAGGCGCTCACATGTAGTGAAGAAAGACAAAAGGGCAAACGCGGAAAAGAAGAAATACGTGCCACCATGGGCCAAAGTGGTTAACATCATGGGAGACACCAGACCAATAACACTGGGATGAGTGTTCAGTACATTTCAATGTAAAAATGAACTAGGTAATTACAAATTGTTCAGCCAAGTGCATGATGTTGTGATGGAAATTCCAGTAGATCGGAGGTGCAACGGGAAGATCTCACTAGGTAGGACTACATGCGGGGCGAAAGTAAAAGGTTCAGTCAGCCCGGAGCCGTATGATAGCGAAAACATCTTACCCCAACCAATCGGAGCCCAGGAGTAAGAAAAATGCGCATCGTAAATATAAACAAAAGCTAAGTTGCAATGTCAGAGAAGGAACCAGAGTCAACTACGTGATGGCTCACCGATAGCTACTCGGCCAGCGAGTGCATGCGCGGGCCAATCAGTCCCATAAGCTGCGACGAGGCCACCTACAATGATGAGTGACGTAAAACATCCTACAGATCCAGACATGAGTAAAGGCCGTCTTCCTACACTGTCTAACAGGACGACGGCAGGTAGAGTGGAGACGGTCTAAAGGGTGGCTGAGAACGGTGATAGAAAGCAAGGGATTCCAAGAGAGCGTACGTTAACCACTCCGTAAACACCGGTGGCAAGTAAAGAAGTGGTATTGGGATTAAGCCCAAGCTGACCGAAGACTAGACTCCAGTTTTACTTCTGGTTAAATTATGAGGTCAAATCTACGCACTTGTTGGGGCATAATAGATGAGCGCCTATGAAAGCATATGGATTTCAGCAAGCGAACATATCATTGAGAACTACTTGACTGACATTTTGACCCTATCCCACCCAAAGAAGATATCAATGTTGAGCATAGTGAAATGTAGTGAACTAAACCCACGATAAATTGTTGATAAAACATAACTAGACAACCAACAGCTAATCTCTTAAACTTCGGCCAAGAAGAGACCAACATGAGATAATTGTTCAAGAACTGTCTGAAAGGTCCAGATGCAGGATATAGCATCTCTCTGGTTTCTCTGGCATGGCGAATCTCTGCCTTGATCTCCAAATGTTCAAAGCGAACAGATAACTCATCTATGGGCTTCTGTCGGAGCTTTGAGAGTGTTCGCAGTGCTTCTTCCTCACGTCCTTGTTCCATAAGCCAACGAGGGGAGTATGGCATGAGCAGCATGCCTAAACCAAGACACTGTTCGTTGTGATGCCTATTAACATTGCTCGAAGGGCCAGAAGTGACCACCCACCAGAGCCGGGAACATCTGCAGACCGACAGGGACTCTCCTGAAATTGAAATTGCATAAGTTGGCTTGTTAAAACAGCGATAATGCTGCATACCAAGAAGACTGCTTCTGAGCAGTGCAACCACCAGATGGAACATCATTGAAAGGATCAAATGTAGGATTTCCATTGAGCAACGGTCCACTGTATGGTATCTGAGGTGCGCAACGAGTTCCGCCGATGTGTGAGGTGCCATAAGCAATCCAATCTGATACCACTCAGTTTCTTTGGTTGACGCCCAGAGAACTAGGGAATACTTACAACTAGAAGTTATCTATGAAATGGACGATGTTCAGATAAATATAAACAGTTCTGTTTCAAACCGATGGACATACACCAAGTGTGATAGACAACTGCTGCAAGCCGACTAAAGATCCTCGAATGTTTGCACTTGATATCTCGGCCAAGTACATCGGGACGACGTGAGTCAATGCGCCGACGGCGAGCCCTGCAACCGCTCGACCACCAAATAGGTAGTCTGGAATGATGAGGGAACAACGTCAATTTACAGAAGGACTATGTGATAAGGTAATATTGTTTACTAGAAGATGTGGCGCCAGTCTGTAAGGCACTACCCAGGAGAAAGACCACCACGTTACACATGATATTCCGTCTTCGGCCAATCTGACGGCGAGGAAAGCAGTAGGGAGTCAGGCTGACTTCATTTGACACTACGAAAAACCATACTTTGTCGCACAGAGGACCATTAATAAGGGACCCTAGCCATGCAGCTATTCGGGAATAGATTGATTGCTCGCTTTAGCGAGCATTCTCGAAAATCGGTGAAAACTGACAGACCTAGTAATAACGTTGAGACATACCAGCCCTTTCAAAATATCCATGTGTATGCGCAAATAACAAGCGGACAAAACATATTTACCTTCAACGAAGCATCCATATAAATTTGGGGGAAGGCTGCCCCAAAGGACTCGATTACGAGGATATTGCTGACAACGCCCTATAAAAGAGTGCATTAGAATAATTACCATAATTTGTGCGCCCTGATAACTTACCTGGTCATAGCCGAAAAGCTGAAATAAAATACATCAGATAAAACAGATCCTAGTCGAGAGCTATGAATTCCTCACGAATCCTCCTAAAGTTGCAAAACATGTCACTCCTAGACTAACGGCAAAGAACAAGGTTTAAATCCGAGTCAATAAGAAAATGCACCGGGCTGTTTTCGGCACCTACATGTACGAGTTCTGAAAAAGCCCTCTGAAGCCGATATGACCCTCTAATGCTGCTAAGCCTGTCCAATCTTCACCGACAGGTGCGGGGTCAGCATAACTTTCACTGTGTTCACCGACTACATCTTTAGATGCATTAGAATATCGCGATGCGGAGCTCCTGGATGTCATAGTCTCTCAATGCTGCCTTGGGGGAGATAGTGGTGGTACAGAAGTACAAGGAAAGACGCCCAGCCCCAACGGCTACCACAGAATTTAAAGGCATGGATTCGTTATTCGTCTCGACGTGCCTCGTCGATGATCACGAGCCCCACCGCCTGAGACTGTAGATGAGGAGTTTGTTCGGACCGTAGCAGATAGGGAAGAAGTTTTACGACAAAACACTCAGCAGACTAGTTTCGACAAAACGAGTGTTTCCTCAAAAGTAAAACGATGTCGGATGTCACCACCGCTGAGCTGGAAAATGCTGGGTAGGCATTCCCCCGGAGTCCCGCTCATCAGACAGAACCTCCCATGTCAGATGCCATAGCCCCCTGATACGACAATACTATAAGTACACCCATAAAATCGTATATTTCGATCTTGCACGGCAAACTCGAGGGTGATGTGCAAGGGAACTGCCCGCCTTTACTTTCCAACTTTCCAAGTGTTTACATTCGGAACCTATTTCGACTGGAACTTTTGCCGCGATACATCATGTAACCCAGAGGACATCGAACAAGCTAACTAGTACCATAATCAAAACTCAGAGAGTTGATCCATCCCTCCTTGGTTGGACCGTGCCGAACTAAGAATCAGGAACAAATGCATCATACGGTAAGTAGTGCCCTCTTGATTGAATCGCCATGGGATCTACCATGGTTCTCAGTGCCGACAACACAGCACTTGCCGTCATCTGCAAACTCCAGATGCTGACCGCCTTCACACGGCGGTTCATGTTTACTTGTGCGACGTGGTGGGCAAGAGCGTCATATGTCTAAGAGATAGCGAAAGACGATTCAGTTTGTGACGAACAATCAGGTCAAAATTATGTCAAATACCTTTTCGGAGATTTCATCCATGAGTCCAGCTTCAGGTATGATCAGTACATTTTGGTTATTGTAGGTCAGAACAAAAAATCTTACTTTCCCACATCTGATTAAGAAATGAGTAAAGCGAAAATTAAATAGAAAACAGCATCAAGACTTACAGTCCAAGCACCGTCGAAATCGCTCAGGTTCTTGGTCACCCTACAGTGAATCGGTACCAGAGTACGATGCGCACTTGGTAAAAACGAAAGGTTAGTAATCGAAGCTAGTGTATGCGAGATATAAACCAACTTCATGAAGGCCACTATAGGTCGTATGAGAGCACTGTTCACGTATGAGAGATCGCTGGCGAACAATGGTACTGCAGCTTTCAAATCTCTGAATCTAAGGTCTATATCGATGATAACTTTAGGAGTATCGTCATCTTCAGTAAAATCGTCGGACTGAGGGGCGGTCAGCGGAGGCTTTGCTAGCTCCCGCTGGCCAGGGATACGTTCGTTCAGAAGAGATACCGAGGCAGCGGTGGATAAAGCGTCTGCGATCTCTCCTAAAAGCGCATTCAGGGGGAAGTCATCCTCTGGATCACGAGGAAACTTGATATCAAGAACAGCGTCAACTTTTCCTGAAGTAATCCAGGAAATAGGACCTTCTTGTGTCGTAGAGTTTTGCATATGATCAATGTTAACGCCGTCGATACGGATCCTAGACTGCAGCTCAAGGTAAGTAACTAGTAAACAATATAAGTGAATGTGCCAACCATACGAGACCATTTGCCGTCTTTAAGGTCTTGGTCGGTTGTCCTACCAATGCTTTGAGGTTTGTGCAGACTGAATAGACAGTTATCAAACTGCCCAACCACGTTCTCGGCGCACAAGAAATCGTAAAATAGCCATTGCTTCCGTAGATTCCGCATATCAGCACGGAAAATGGAAGCTGTGTACGGTCTAAAATCTCCAGGCTGATAAACGGTAATTAGCACGTCTTCTAGTTGAAGCAATTCCAGTTCAAAGTCGCCCGGTTGTGGGGTATGACGGAAAGCCGCAGGATCCAGAGGATGCTCGGGATCCCAAAAAACTGATCGTCGGTCTGTTTCAAACAACGTTAGCTTGTGGATTTTATAAACTTTCGAATTATGTACCTAGTATACCACGAACCCCTTTTATAACAGCATCTTCCACGAGTCCCTTTCCATCTAACCAACGTTTAAATGACAATGTCACATCAATAGAATCCACATTCAAATCGAACATAGAATAATTGAGATCGTCATCACTATGATCCAGAGTTATCTCCTCTTCTTCATCACCTGTATAATGATAAGCCGGGTGACCACTAACATCGTAACCAATTGCAGCCTTGTGGCCCGTGACTTTTTTCTCGGTTGAAGGAGTGACGTCAGACCGCGGCCGTCGGGATATATACACATTTTTGAACGAAATCCGAGAGTCTTTCCACTTTGGTACAATGGCAGATTCGAATATGATGGTGACTCCAGTTTCCGCTGTCAGGTAATTACTTATCGCGCGAGCGACATTCTCTAAAGGGCAAACATTGGTTCGCGTCTTCAGTAGCGTTAGAAGATGAGCTCACCTTGCAGACGCAAGCTGTTCGCAGTAGCGAAAACAACAGAAAAGAAAGTCGTGCTATAGGAGATGTCAGTAACTATGAAAGAAGATGAGACGGTTACTCACGTTCCGACTAGGATCCACAAGGTTTGACTCATGAGAAACCATGTTATAAATGCGGATATGTCGTCTGCGTTAAACCTGCGAAATGACCGTATGGTGAACCACTTGAAACGTATGCGTAACCGCTGCCAGAAACCTGTTGCAACTCTAAGAAAATCGTCTCTTGTTGGCCTATGAAGGTGTGATAACGAGAGTGCCAATCGTCGGTATAGTCGAGGATAGTTTTCCAGGTTTAGAGGCGCTATCCCGTGAGTACCACCACCTTGATCAGAGTCTGAAGCTTTGCCAACATCTCCGCCCTCTTCTGAGCTTTTGGACGGCCCAATTCCTTCAACCTTTTCCTTGTCTTCCGCTATTCCGTTTCGATGCATCTGTTTGGAGTAGGTGCAACGAGCTTGCCATAAATTTGGCTGTATGCGCATCCATGCCTGACTTTTCCATCTAACATAACCATCTCGAGGATATATAGTCGCTGTGAGGTTCGAACTGGCCTGGAGAGGACCTGGAGCTGTGGTCACGAGCTGTCGCTTGAAGAACGACCTGATGGTACTGTAGCGCTCGAGTGCAGATTGGCGTGCATGCAGACTGGGGTGTTTCAGAAGCAAAATGTTTGGCTGATTCCGCACAACAGGACTGATGGTTTTCAATGCAGGCGATAAAGAGACTGGCATGGCGCTGAAAACATACCAGAAATTTTTGCACCAAGACCAAAAAGACCGAAAACGTCACTGGAACGGCACTGCGAATGCGACCACGAATGGAAACATTCTCACGACTTCACAGTCAGCGGCTCTATATCCGCTGTCCTTTATTTCCTTCATTCCAACCTGAAAGCTTGAAAACCTGAAACTTGAACGTATTTAATTTTTTTCTGAGACTCATCGATGCAAACCCCTGACAACTCTCTCATGAGGCAAGAGGCTTACAAGGGGGAGCCTCTTGAAACGCACTGAAATGTCCTATCATATCCTATGCAGGCGAAATTCTGGATCGGATTCGCACCAGCAGATATTTTGCGATCCGCCCCATACAAGCTGCTTTAAGTATCAAGTTTAATAACCGCGATGGATCACGTTTACTCTCTGCGTCCTTCGTTCTGAAAGCGAGTCCAGAGGATCCATCTCCCCATTGTTTCTGACGAAAGGATACATGGAATTTATTCAACGAAGCATATTGGCCGCAGGTTATAGTTTGTTGGATAAGGTAGGTCATATGATTTTATTCTGCTGGTTTGATCACACACGACTTCATAGGGTCTTGTACCCGATTTTATCCTTCGTTTGGCCATCCGTACGCTTTGTCGGCAACGTCTGCGTGAAATTGACCACGGCTCACTTGAAGCGAATCATGAGGCCAAGATGAAGTGGATAGCAGACGCGCGCAGTAGAAGTCATATTGCTGACTCTACTCAGGTCGCCAACGATCAACACTACGAGGTTGGTACTTTGATCTGTGGTGTTAATGAAGCTTACCACAGCACCGAATGATGAGGTGTCGACGAAGTTTATTCTTTCTTGCCTTGGTCCATACGCCAAATACTCGTCATGCTTGTATCCGACAGGGACGGAAACTCTGGAAGAAGCTGAAGTTCTCATGCTAGAGAGCTACTGTAGCAAGGCACAGTTGATGGATGGCCTTGATATATTGGACCTCGGATGTGGTATGTTTATCTTCGACAAATCTTCGCCCCTACTGAAACCTCGACCTATTCACCTAAGGTTGGGGCAGCTTAACGATATATCTCGCTCAAGTCAGTTTAATCATTCATCGGCATCCCAAATCTCACTACTTAGCAATGCGTTATCTTAGAAATATCCCAATGCCCGCATAACAGGCTTGTCGAACTCAGCTACACAAAAAGCCCATATCTACTCGGTTGCCGAGGCAAGAAGTCTTACAAATATAAAGGTAGATAATATAATCCCCCCACCGCATCCATATTTATATTATTTGGAGGTCATTACTGCAGATGTCAATACGCACCAATTTCGCGACGACGAACGGTTGGTCCATCGTTCATTTGAAAATATTTACACCTCAGCTAATTTACTTTCCACTGGTAGCTTTGATAGAATTTTATCAATAGAGGTTCATATTCACTTTTTTCGAGACAACATCCAAAACAATTTACTTTCACATATAGATGTTCGAACATATGAAAAATTACGAGGCACTGCTTTGCAAAATATCTACTTGGCTACGTCAGTCGCCTCAATCTTCGGAAGAATCTCTGCTTTTTGTGCACTTGTTCTGTCATAAAACGATGCCATACCATTTCGAGGAGGGGGATGGGTGGATGGCACAGACCTTTTTTACAGGTATACTCAACTGTATACCGCTTTTTCTGATTCACATCCTAAATATCCTTTTTGAACGTTATAGGCGGAACAATGCCTTCTCACGATCTTTTGGTACATCCTTTCTCTAATATTTTACAACGGGAATAATTGCTAAGTAATGTTCAACAGCTATATTTCCAGACCAAGTTGACATTGGTCAATAGTTGGTATATCAATGGGTGTCACTACTCTCGAACATTAGAAGACTGGCTAAAGAAGCAGGATCGAAATGCCTCTGAAGGACTCGACGAGCTAGCAGCCGATGCTCAAACCAAAGGTTTGTCGAAAGACGAAGGCAGAAAAGCATTTTATAGGTATCTTGTCGTTTTCGAGAACCCTGAAATTGTTTTACTATATGGTCTTCAGGTTCCGCGTCTTCTACATAGCTTGCTCTGAACTTTTCAGACTACATAGCGGGCAAGAGTAAGTAACTTCCGTTTCTTGAAGAGGGTTGCATGAACTGATGATACCTTAGGTGGGGAGTGGGTCACTACTTGTTCAGAGTGAAGAACCCAGCCCAAGGTAGTTGAGTTGAGAAAGTTGCTCCATTGCCAAGTTCATCGCAGGCTATACCCTCTGGATAATATATTTCGAAATCTCTTCAAACCCTCTTTGTAGCAGCATTGCCATAGCACTGAAATATGTAAGAAAAATAACAATTTAGATCATTCAACGCTAAGCTGTATCCTGTTACTGTTCAGCCAACGGGTAGTACTGTAAAACTAATGAGCGCTTTAATGAGTGGGCATGCCGGTGATTTTAGACCATCGGGCACATGACGGGGCGCGAAATAGGACTGCGTGAGACGAGACAGCCTAAATAATATATACTAATTGCATTGTATTCTTTTGCGACGAGATTTATTCGTCAGTTGACATGAACTCGTTTTCTGATGATAACGGTTCGATGATTAGTTCCTTCTCCAAACGCTCCGCTGTGTCCTCGATGAGTTGCTCTGCAATGATAAATGCTCGATTTGAACGGATCACATCAAACACCTTTTTTTTTACATCCATCTGCCATCTGACCAAATGGGTTTCTCTGAAAACGCTGAGCGGCCTCTTTATACGGCATGGGATATCGACCATCGAGTAGAAATCGACCCATTCCATTCCACCACGCCTGCCACCAATCCGCGGAGCACAGATCTTGATTCGAACAATCAAGAGCGTGTTCGTTGATTTCAGGAAGCTCACAGGCAACCATACGACGGTGTTCATCGAGGATTTTACGAAGATTTGCTAGGGCAACAAAAACAGAATGCCCAAATTGCGTTCGGTGGCGGTGATCTGGTTTAGGGGGTTTCGACCAAAGGGACAAAACCGTGTTTGAACTAGAGCCGAACGTTGCATCGAACAGCGAGGGAGACCAAAGTGATGATGGAGTAGGACCAACGTCGGGTGTGAACATCACCAGGTGAATGGCCATGTTTCGAGTGGCTACACAAAGATACTTCGAGCTAAAACACAACAGGTCGACCATTTCATCATCGGTGAAGGTACGGGTAGGGCATCTAAAATATTAGTGGAAGAAAACTCAGAAAACATACATGGGAGTTTACTTGATAGCTTAAACCGCAAGAAAAGCGTCAAATTGACGACGAAGGACCTGTTCAAGAACGATCGGATTCTCACCACTTGACCCATCTAACTGTTCCATCGGCTCTCCCTCTACTCCTGAGGCAAACATATTAGCGAAAACAAATGAATTATTTGCTAGGATTGACGGCCTTATACGATAGAGCATGTTTTCCACTTGCTGTAAACTCAGTCAGCCAGAGTTTCAGAGTACAAAAATCACTACATAAATGACAAAACCGGATAAACCCGGTCTCTGCCAAAGCAGCCATTGTTCTCCATGGAGCATAGCCACCACTCCATGGAGTCACCATTGTTCTCCTAGGAGCAAGGAGTCATTATACTGTAGCGAGTAGCACCTCTGACTATAAGTAGTAGGGGGTTTAGTATAGGAATACCTCAGTCGTTTCTATAGCCTCTCGGGCAGCGGCTGAGGTATGTTACATTACATTTATTAGAGATCACCTTAAACTAACATCTATTGTAGTTTCACTTAGGTAAATAATAAAGTCGTTTCTATAGCCTCTTGGGCAGCGGCTGAGTTTCACATAGGTTTATTAGGTTATGAGCCCTGGTGCGCAAAAGCTACGCAGGAAATAATTCTTATTTGAAACAGCAACCTCAGAACCATGACCACAGCACGCGATACATCCACATGTCCAGTTCTCACTGGACCCAACAATTTTCAGATATGGAAACTCCGGATTATCTCAAAGTTACGTCGGGAAAAGGTTCTCCGGGTTGTTACTGGAGAGGAGCTTAAGCCCTCACCAGGAAAACCTACCTCCTCGGAGGATCCTGAGATCACCTGGATACTTAAGGATGAGAAGGCACATGGAATCATCCAGGACCACATCTCTGATGCCCTCCTAATGAGGACTGGAGACCTCACCAGCTCCAAGGAGTTATTTGATAAACTTGTCTCACTCCATCAAACGTCCAACGTTGCCTTGGCCTTCTATTCATTCCAGCAACTCACCAAATTGTCCTGGGATGGGACATCACCTATCCAGGACCACATTGCAAAAATCCGGACAATTGATTCACACCTCTCCGGAATGAAACTAGGAGTTGATACCAAACTCATGGCTTTCGCTCTTCTTCAATCTCTCCCATGCACTCCTGAATGGCAAATATTTCAGTCATCAGTAATCAACACGATTGAAGAAAATAAACTTACCTTTGATGCAGTTGAGATCCGGATCACTGCAGAAGTTGCACGACAGTCAGGGAAGGCCCCTGGAGGTTCCGAATCAGCACTCAAATCCGAGGAGAAATGGTGTAACTTCCACAAAGCCAAATCACACAACACCTCGGAGTGTCAAACACTTCAGTCAGCTGAAAAAGGTCAAAAGAAGAAGGGAAAGGAAAGACACAAGGATAAAGGAAAAGAGAAGGAAAAGGCAAATACAGCGGAGTAATCATCTGGATCTGACTCCAAGGAGGAACAAAGTCATATTGCATTGGAACATGTACATATTTCCAAGCCCCTTGCTAAACGCATTCAAGCTTACCTTGTGTCGGAACCCGATAAGACCAAAACAACAATTATTATTGACTCCGGAGCAATATCCCACATGGTCCCTCACCGCTCCTGCATACCATGTTCTGCATCCTCCGAGGACAATCAGTTTTGGGGATGAATCCTCTGTAAATGCCATTGGCATTGGAACAGTAATCCTACAAGCAACTGTTGGCAAAAAGGACTACAATATTGCACTGTCAAATGTCTTACTTGTGCCAAACTTCACGTTAGCACTCGTCTCTGTCCACAAATTGTCCAAAACGGGGTTATCAACACTTTTTCCAGCAGGGTCAAATGCTTGTGAAGTTCGGAAAAAGGAGAAACTTATCCTCACTGTGTTACACAAGCGAGGACTTTATCACATCCAAGCAAAACCCAAAATCAACCCGGTGTCATGCACCAAAGTTGATTAGTAGCATGGACAGGTGTCAATAATGAAGCGAATATTCAAAAAGACTCACCTTTGCACCACACAGGCACAGTGCCACGTGGAATAGTAATTAATATTGCCTTTTTTGAACTTGTGGCTGATCAGCATCACCTCTATTAGGCAATCCAGTCACGCTCACCTTTGCTTTTCCATTCGGTACTTTCGCATTTCGGCATTTCGGCAAATTTTTGCGTCGCCACTGGCTACACATTGCATTGCGCCCTCGCTTTTGTCGTTTCCCTTACTCCCCTTCCTTTGCCTAGCCCCACCATGGGCCCCTTCCTCTCCTTTTTATTCTCACCTGACGGTCGTTTCTGGATCCCCATTCTAATCCACCTTTTTGTCACCTCCACCCTCCTCCTCCTCATCTTATTTGCACCCCCACCATTTCTGATATTACCACTTCCTATCCGCTTCCGTCGCCGATCCGTTGACTACCACGTGCCACTGCTAATATCAGCAAAGCCCCGGCGGCTGGTCCAAATAGGGCAACAGGTCCATCTTCATGACGTCAATCTGCCATCATATACTATCAAAACATTGGTCGCTCATCTTGCCTGGTTGGAGCGTGGGTGGGTAGTTTTTGAGCTGGAGAAGGTTCATCCCCTTGCGTTGCCCATGTTCATTGCTGTCCCATTCACTTGGGTACACTTATCTTTTGTCCATCGTCTTCGCTACAGCTACAGCTACCACACGCTGCCTGGGACTCACTTGTTCCAAATTGGAACTACTCCTCTCCCTCCCTTGTTTGATCAGGTGGTCCAACGCAACCAGTCCATTGGTAAGGCCATGGAACTGTCGGATTTGGACTAGGTGGTGGACCGGTGGCTCCAGTTTCTTTTTTTTCAGCAGAACATTCATTTACAGTGCGATTATTTTTGATTTTTGAATCATTTTTATGGACACATATTTTTTTAGAATGCCTGACTGACAATAAAGGAACTGTGTTGATACTGATATTGTTTTTCTTCATCCTCTTTTTACTGCATCTTCCCATGACTTTATGATTTTCTTGCTTTTTTTCTGTTTTTGGACTTTATTTTATGGCTGTACAAACCTGTGACATTACTCACAGCATTTATTGTTCTATCTCTTTCTTTTCCTTATTTTGACGATCTTATCCTGTACTACCTATGCAGGATTTGTCAGCATACATTCCTTCCTTCATGTTCTTTCTCATTCTTTTTGCACAGCTATACTGTGCATAGCCTACTTTTCTTTCACTATATAAACCCCTGTATTTTACCTTGTAAAAGAACAACAAGTACTTGATTCCAGACTTCTTCTCTAATCTTAAGTCCACTTCTTACTGCTACTTGTGGTCCAGTGTGGTCACAACACTTCCCACTGCTACCACTGTTAATTGCTGTCATCGTCACTTCCCACTTTTGAAGTCATTGTTATCCCTTTTGATTAGAGTCCTTCTGAACACTACAGTTTGTGTGTCAGGAGCCTGCTATCACTGGGAACCTCGTCACCTCGTCATTCTCATCGTTCTCAAACCTACCTTGTGCTACAATTAGCAAGGTAGTGCTCATCTATACTCGTCACTAAGCCCCTATCTTCTATAAATTCAACTATCCCTCCTCCTCAAAACCCACACTCATACACATTTGGGTTTTACTTTGAAGGATCTTTATACGTACCACCCCATGAACAACCAGACCACTCCACTGTTCTAGGAGGCAAAGCCCATAAACAAGTTCCGTGGAATCTGGGAGGATTGTGTGTTAGTTTGTTTTTGTGTGTGGTTTTCTAACAGCAGTTCTCATCATCGACAACGTTCCAAGAACAGTGGGAGCACCTGATCAGCTAAGACACCCTCCACAACAGTCTCTACAACCAAGACCTGAACACTGGCCATCTTCAGAACGGAAAGCCAAAGTAGAGTTACAGTCAGTGGGAGGACAGCCCCTCAACATACAGCCAGCTGATGTGGAAAAAGTCCGAATACAGCTAGACAGCCTGTCCATTGGATCAGCTTCTGGAAGGCATCCAACACCTCCGAGGAGTCATCCAACACCTCCAAGGAGTGATTCAACACCTTCAGGAGTGAGTGGGGCAACAAATACACAAATGCATCTGCTCCCTGGAGTACCTGCACAAGTTCCTAAAAGAGCAGTCATGCCTGCTGAAGTCCTAGGAGTACGCAGAAGCAGTCACCAGACCCGTCTTGCAGACAAAAACCAAGATTATTGAAGGACTCTAGATGAGGAACAGTCTCAAAAAGAGCAGCATGACAACTCCATGGAGAAACCTAACACTCTTGAGGTTCATGAAGAAACATCTGATACAGAGGAGACATTCTTTGCTGGAATAGCAAGTACCGGTCCATCTAACACAGACCTTCCAAGGACACTAAAGGAAGCCTTATCACGTCCGGATGGAGAATTATGGAAGTCTGCCTTGGAGGAGGAACTCCTAAGTCTCAATACTAATGCAGTATATGACACTGTTCCACTTCCGAAGGGAGTAAAACCCATCACATCAAAACCTGTGTTCCGGATCAAGTTTGATCAAAACAGAAACATTGAGAGATACAAACTCCGGATTGTTGCACGAGGTTTTACTCAAAGGGAGGGGATTGATTACCAGGAGGTTTTTGCTCCGGTTGCAAACTTAGAGTCAATCCAAATTATTCTAGCCCTGGCAGCAAAGTACAACCTAGAACTTGATCAAATGGACGTATCCACAGCTTATCTCAATGGAGAACTTGAAGAAGAACTGTACATGCTTCCTCCAGGGGGTGTTCCTATCTAACCTGGATACTGCTGGAGGTTGAAGAAATCCATCTACGGATTAAAACAAGCTGGTCGTACATGGAACAAAACCTTTGATCGCAAGCTCCAGGAGCTCAGTTTCACAAGACTAAATGCAGAAACATGTCTCTATGTATTCCGGGACAACAAACAAATATGCTTTGTTGTTGTCTATGTAGATGACCTCCTCCTAGGAGCTTCATCCCGGAAATTCATGGATATCACAAAAGCCAAACTCAAATCCATATTCAAAATGCGGGACCTTGCAAAATACATCCTCGGAATAGAAATCCAACGTGATTGTTCAAACAAAACAATATCCCTATTGCAATGCCAATACATTGACACAGTCCTGGAGCGTACTGGAATGAAGAACTGCAAACCAGTATGGAAACCAATGGTCCATGGGTCAAAACTCCTTGCAAATGCTCCAGGGAAAGATATTGTGCAACACGAGATGCATATTGAAGGGCGTCAAGTGTCAT